GCTTACAACCTTTGCAGCATCCCCATGATCATGTGATCAAAACTGCCTGAAGAATGCTAATCTGCACCTGAAAGACATGGGTCACCTTGCTCAGGACAACAAGATTGACCTTCTGGACAGAGAGGTCTGAACGACGAGTCAAAGACTTCTACTCCTCTCCTTTCCTCTCCCTTCTACTTTTTCTTCTCTCCTCTCCTCTTTTCTCTATTCTATTCTATTCTATTCTATTCTATTCTATTCTATTCTATTCTATTCTATTCTATTCTATTCTATTCTATTCTATTCTATTCTTTCTCTCCTCTCCTCTCCTCTTTTCTCTATTCTATTCTATTATTCTACTCTACTCTACTCTACTCTACTCTACTCTACTCTACTCTACTCTACTCTATTCTAGCTATCTGGATTAAAACTGAACAAGATACACTACTCTTCTTTTGCAACGGAGCTTTTGGAGCTTTTGCCAAGCTGGTTTACAGGCTGCCATCTTGCAAACCCGGATTGCAAACGTCCGGACGGTCGCCCGCTTTCACGCGCCTTCCCGCAGCGCAGCCCCGCGCAGACTTGCTAGTTCCCGGCGGCCGCCACTAGGGGTCAGGCGCGGACGCTCTGGCTGCGAGGCAGCACGGCTATTCGAGCTGAGGGAGCGCAGGAACCGGAAGCGGAGGGCCAGCGGGGTTTCCGGTTCCGATGCCGGATAGCAATGGCGTCTCTGAGGCGCTACGTCCTGGTCTTCGGCGGCTTCGCTGCTGCGGTGGGGCTGACCCTCTACCCCATCTTCTTTTACCCCATGACCCACCTGGGGGACTACAGTAAGGGAGGGAGGGAGGGAAGGCGGCCCTCGTGGCCGGCTCCGGCCTTCCCTTGGCGGGGAGGGGAGGCGGAGGGACTCGAGGGAGGAGGTCACGGCTGGGCTGACCCGCCTCGCTTGCTGGGGCTGAGCCGCCTTTTAATTGGATCCACAGCCACCCCATAAGCTTCCTCCTTTAAAAATCTTATTTTCAAAAAGCAGCTAACTGGCAGTGCGTCCCAGCTGCGATCAGGAGGGCGGTTGTGACTGGTCCCCCCCTCTTGCAGACCTTCCTCTAAAAGTCATTTAGGGGATTGTAGTCTCAAGACACCGCCCTATTCTCTTTTTTTAAAAAAAACAAAACAAAGAAAAAACAACTGGTGTATTTATTTATTTAGCGTAAGGCATCTACATGATGCGCTAAGTAAATATTTTAATTAATTTATCATTTTATATATTATAATTAATAGAATGTAGTATGATTAACATAATATAATAATAATAGCCATATATATAATGGTTTGTCAGCCAGATGTTCAGATTGGATTTGGCATGTTTGTCTATCAAGGACCTGGGATAGATGTGGATATGTGTTGTTGTTGTTGTTATTATTATTATTATTATATCAAGGACCTGAGATAGGCAGATGTGGATATTATTATTATTATTATTATTAGTCTATCAACGACCTAGGATAGGCAGATGTGGATATTATTATTATCATTATTATTATTATATCAAGGACTTGAGATAGGCAGATGTGGATATTATTATTAATCATTTATTATTATTATTATTATTATTATTATTATTATTATTATTATTATTATTATTATATCAAGGACCTGAGATAGGCAGATGTGGATATTATTATTATTATTATTATTAGTCTATCAACGACCTAGGATAGGCAGATGTGGATATTATTATTATCATTATTATTATTATTATATCAAGGACCTGAGATAGGCAGATGTAGATATTATTATTAATCATTTATTATTATTATTATTATTATTATTATTATATCAAGGACCTGAGATACGCAGATGTGGATATTATTATTATTATTATTATTATTATTATTATTATTATTATTTGTATCAAGGACCTAGGATAGGCAGATGTGGATATTATTATTATTATATCAAGGACCTGAGATACGCAGATGTGGATATTATTATTATTATTATTATTATTATTATTATTATTATTATATCAAGGACCTGAGATAGGCAGATGTGGATATTATTATTATTATTATTATTATTATTTGTCTATCAACGACCTAGGATAGTTAGATGTGGATATTATTATTATTATTATTATTATTATTATTATTATTATTATATCAAGGACCTAGGATAGGCAGATGTGGATATTATTATTATTATTATTATTATTATTATTATTATTATTATATCAAGGACCTGAGATAGGCAGATGTGGATATTATTATTATTATTATTATTATTATTATTATTATTATTATTATTATTATTATTATTATTATATCAAGGACCTGGAATAGGCAGATGTGGATATTATTAATTTATTATTATTATTATTATTATTATTATTATTATTATTATTATTATTATTATTATTATTATTATTATTTGTTTCAAGGACCTAGGATAGGCAGATGTGGATATTGTTATTGTTATTTTGTTATTGTTATTCATTATTATAGTATTACTTATTGAATACTGTGCTATTAGGTGAATATTTAGGGGCATGGGCTTGTGTGTATAGATTTACATAAGTAAAATCTTAAGACTGGTCAATGACAAAGTCTGATGGGAGATAAGAGCCGGATGCAGTGTAGGAAGGAGTGTAGGAAGGATGGGAGAACAGAGTAAATTCAAGAAATTAAGAAAATTGCATAGGATGCCATTGGAGTTCTGGTCTGAGAGCAGAGAACAGATACCAAAGCATAAGAAATAGCTTAGCCTTAAATGCCACATTTAACATAGTCATGAATACTGAGCAGTAAGTCAACCAAGTGTGCATTTTACTTACTTATGTATTTTATATTTATTAGAAAAGGCACAAAATATAAATCGAGCCGGCATTATCCAAGAAGATGTACAGCCTCCAGGTATATCTCTAAATTGATGTGTGTCTGTTTAGTTATGTTATAGTTTAAATAAGTATCCCCAAATTGATAAAGCAGTGGGGTTTAATTTGGATTCCAGCCCAAAATATGAGATACATTTTTAAATTGATAGTTTCTACCTGGAGGAGTCATTCTTCTGCTGCTTAGAAAATTGTTCCTGAGTGTGCGCTATTTGTCACCTCCATATATTTTACTCCTGCTCAATTTTGGAAATATAAATTGGAAAATAGATGCAGAATGGAACTTAGTTAAGGTCTCTTTTGTTGTATGGGGAATCCTGCCAGTATGCTGATTTTATCCAGCTCTTTTCCTTGTCAGCTGAAATTACTAAATTGTGTTTGCACAAATTAGCCAGCCACATTTTACTTGGTCTGTTGTGCAAAGTTCAGCCTATCTGATTAGTTTTGTGGCTTAGGGGGCCAGGCAAATCCAGAAGATTTGGATTAATGTAGTAAAGTTATTAAATTATCTGTTGTTGAGGATGATTAGTGAACTCAGCTCCATGAAGTCTATTTTTAGTGGGGTGGATGAAGGCCAGAAAACAAAATATTCCAAAAAAACAGGTGCTATGCTTACCTGAGTTCCCTGTTTGAAGAATTAGGATTCATACAACCACACAGTGGTTTGCACTAATCTACAAAATAGATTTTAAATTTGTTTTTCCCCTTGCGTTTAATTTTGACATAGACTCCCAAGTGAAGTTGTAGTAGACAAACAATACTGGCTTGTCAATATTCTTAGGCAGGGAAAAACCTGGTCAGAGTTATCCATGCTCTACATATGTCCCAATTCAATTGCTTCAAAGGGTTATAAATCAACTGGTTTCATAAGTTGTTTGGCACTCAAATTATGAGCGCAACATATTTGTCTTTGTACAATACATTATTGTATTGCCATTTTTAGAACTATTGGTTACTATTTGCTTCTAAGTGTTTAAAGTGCTAATTTAGATGCTTACAAAAATATGTACTCCTTTGCCAAAATGCAGGTAGTCCTCAACTTATGACCACAATTGAGCCCAAATTTTCTGCTGTTAAGTGAAACATTTGTTATGTTTTGTCCCATTTTACTGATTATGGTTGGCTAATTTTTTCCCCGCTGCAAGCCTAAACATGTTTATTGGATAACGAGTTTATTGAAAGGTTTAATTTATTGGGGAATGTCATTTTAGATTTTAGCTTTGGTATTTATATATTGTTTGTTGTTATTTAAATCATTGTACAGTATATTGTACATCCTCCTCACATTGTCATTGCTGGGCGGCCTTTAAATCTTGAAATAAGTCAGCTTTAAGAGTGGGATTTCAGTTCTGTTCCCCAACCCTCCTTCTGTATTTGATGCTCATTTCTCAAAACAGTTCAAGGTAGCCTGAGTTATTCTAGTTTGTCATTCAGCAAGAATTGTGGACAGAATCGATGAAAATTTCACAAAGAGGATGGCTCACCAAAGACTCTTTGCATTCTAATGTACACATGTAGGAACGTCGTTTCTTAGTCACTCTCACCTCAAACCACTATTCCAATTTTAAATAAAAGATCTGACTGCTTTTTTGGGGGGGCAGATTGCTTGTTTTATTATTTAAATTATATGGGTTATGGAGGTTTTCTCTTTGGTGTGTGCATGTTTACTGCTGGGAAATAACTATCTTCTTGCACTATTACCGATATTAAAAGGAATAATTCTAAATGCTCCAATCATTTGTTTACCCACAGGATTAAAAGTGTGGTCTGATCCATTTGGAAAAAAGTAAAAAAAAAACACCTCTCCTGAAGATGTGTGGATTTTCCTTTTTGCCATCCATGATACTCCAAGTCCTTTTTGACAACTGAAATAATGTAGAAAAAGGGTTTGGCATGTCGGTTTGCATTCATGTATATATGTAGTAATTGCCAATTTGCAAGCTTCTCTCTGATCTAGACGTGACAAAGAGAACTGTATGGAATGTTTTCTGTTAAGAAAATGGAATAATTGTGTTTTCCTTTATTGAGAGAATAAATATTATTTTGATCTGCACAGATTAAGCAGCTGACGTCTGTATAAAATATGACAACAATAAAGTATATTATTATAAAAAAAAACCCCAAACTTGGTTCTAGAATTGTGAGAAATAAAGCTTTTTTATAATGTTCTACTATAGGATATGGGGCTCAGCATTTAGCCGTTCTTTAAATGAAAAGGTGGACCGAGGAAAACAATACTTAACTTCTGAAAAAGATATCCCAGATAAACATTGTAATTTTTAGGCTTCAAGAGGAGATGATTTTTAAACAGATTTAATTTCTAATTAAAATGGTACCATTTTGGGCTCTGGGC